TGAGAAGTGTGAGGGCCAGTTTCCCAAGTTGTATGGCTCCAGGCCTGCCTGGTGACGTAGAAATCACACTCGTCCCAGAAACCCTTTGGCTTTTTTTTTTTTTTTTTTTTTATTCAGTGTCTCGCTTTGTTGCCTGGGCTAGGGTACAGTGGTTTCAGCCTAGCTCACAGCAACCTCAAACTCCTGGGCTCAAGCGATCCTCCTGCCTCAGCCTCCCGAGTAGCTGGGACTACAGGCATGCGCCACCACGCCCGGCTAATTTTTTCTATATATATTAGTTGGCCGATTAATTTCTTTCTATTTATAGTAGAGACGGGGTCTCGCTCTTGCTCAGGCTGGTTTTGAACTCCTGATCTTGAGCGATCCGCCCGCCTCGGTCTCCCAGAGTGCTGGGATTACAGGCGTGAGCCACCGCACCGGCCCCTTTGGCTTTTTTAAGGGAGAGAGACTTTGGGGGCGTTCATCCGGGAGGGGCTGAAAGTGCCCCAGGCAGGGATGGGAGACCGGAGGCACCCCACCCCTCCTGCGGTAACAGTTGTATCAGACTGGAAGGAAGATCTTTCTTAAACAAACAAAACCCCACTTCGTTTTTCGAGGTTGAGGCTTAGTGTCAGGCTGTGAGCAATAACCAAGTTTTACCCCAGACTTACCAAAGGCTGGCCCGGGCAGGTTCTCTCCGAGAAACACTGACCCAGTTCTCGGAAGCCGGTGAATCAGCCTCCCCCCCCCCCCCACGGGGCCCAGAGTGGTCCAGAGGCTGTAGCAAGCTGTGAACTGCTGATGAGAAACAGAGCAACAGAACACTGTGTCTCATGACTATATTCTGTCCCCCGCCCCCCATGTTTAGGGCTTTTTTCTTCCCAGGATTTTTTGGACTTGAACTTAAGAATTTTAGTTCAATTTCTTTGAGGCTTAGTTTACTGGGAGAAAGGAATGTAAACTAAAATAAAATTTTAAGGCTCACCACCCCTCCAACAGGCTGACTGAATGGACCCCCTTGTGGCCAAAGAAATATCATGAAACTAAATTGCCTGCCAAGAGGAAGGAGGACAGACATGCCTCATCATGCCCCCCTCCCTTCTTGGGGACATCCTTTGTAACCCACTGACAGGCCTAAGGGTGTGCAAGACAAACCTGTGGGTCCTCAATTTACTCAACAAATCTATGTCCAGTGGCTTCTCTCTGATAACAGCTCCTTATGTCAAAACAACCTCAAACTCCTAGGCTCAAGGGATCCTCCTGCCTCAGCCTCCCGAGTAGCTGAGACTACAGGCATGTGCCACCATGGCTGGGTAATTTTATATATATATATATATTTTAGTTGGCTAATTAATTTCTTTCTATTTATAGTAGAGACGGGGTCTCGATCTTACTCAGGCTGGTGTCCAACTCCTGACCTTGAGCAATCCACTCGCCTCGGCCTCCCAGAGTGCTAGGATTACAGGCGTGAGCCATCACACCCGGCCCAAAGCTCCATGTCTTTAGCCAATTACAAGCCAAAGAATCTTTAAAACTACCTATAACCTGTAAGCCCCTGCTTCGATATGGCCCACCTTTTCGGGCCAAACAAATATATGCCTCCCACGTATTGATTGATGACTTTGCCTGTAACCCCTGTCTCCCTGAAATGTATAAAACCAAACTGTGACCCAGCCGCAGCGAGTCCACTTGCTCAAGGCCTCTTGGGAGTGGCCTCATGGTCCTCAAATCTGGCTCAGAATAAATCTCTTTAAAATTATTTTACAGATTGGCTTTTTTCCGTCGACAGGAATAATTCTTGTACTTTAATTTCTCCTGAGATACTGGATATTGGGAAAGGGTTTATACTCAAATTTGGGCAGTTTTAACTGTTGCCATTGGGCTAATCCAATGGCAGGGGCAGTGGTTTGTGTGGGAGGAAGCTGGGGAGGCCACTCCAAGGCCCATCTAGAGCACAGGAGGCCCTGGGTGGAGAAGGCTGGGGGTGCTGAGCAGGCACTGGCAGGAAGCGGGGTGGAGTCTTCCTGTGGGGTTCTCACAGTTCGCCCCACCTGCAAGCTCCGGAGTGAACCTGCCAGTGTCAGGAAACCCACCACAAGACCAGACCCCCGGGACGGAGGCCAAATTCAGTTAATTTGTCCAGTAGGACAAGTAACCAAGGGCGATGTTTCTCCTGCAGCTTCCGAAGTTCCAGTTCCCACAGGGGTCTGGGTGAGGGCAGGCGACCGGGCACACACAGTGGTTGTGAGAGGATGGGAGCCCTGGGGTACCTTTGCCCCAAGAGAGACCGGGTGGCCATTGCACTGACATAAACAGAGCTGCCGTCTGCTCCAGAGGGAGCCTGTCCCGAGGAAACACCCTTAAAAGGACAGACTGGGACAAAGGGGCGCATGGCCAGTGTCTCCCCCCACCGTCCAGGAGCAGGGCCTACAGTCTGGAGGGCAGGCTGGGGGCCTGGGAGTGCAGGGCACCTGGAGGGGGTCGAGGTCCTTATGGCGGAGGTGGGGGGCACCTCCCACATCTCGGACTTGGGGGAAATGCCTGGGACCCCAAGTGTGGGTGTTTTTCTGTCCCACTGGTGGTGCTTCTTGCCTCTGACAGTCTGTTTTTTTTGTTTGTTTTTTTTTTGAGACAGAGTCTCACTTTGTTGCCCAGGCTAGAGTGAGTGCCGTGATGTCAGCCTAGCTCACAGCAACCTCAAACTCCTGGGCTCAAGCGATCCTCCTGCCTCAGCCTCCTGAGTAGCTGGGACTACAGGCATGCACCACCGTGCCCGGCTAACTCTTTCTATACATATTAGTTGGCCAATTAGTTTTCTTTCTATTTATAGTAGAGACAGGGTCTCACTCTTGCTCAGGCTGGTTTCGAACTCCAGACCTCAAGCCTCGGCCTCCCAGAGTGCTCGGATTGCAGGCGTGAGCCACCGCGCCTGGCCTGCCTCTGACAGTCTGCAAAGGAAATGGGCTGCATCTAGCCTCACATGGAGGCACAGAGATAAAGTGGCAGAATGTGCTCCTTGTAGGGGCTGGATGTGACCTAGAATAAAATCTTAAGCCCCCCAGCCGGCCAAATGGGCCCCTCTTGGCCACGGGGACCCCAGAAATACCCTCAGGCTGAGTTGCTGGCCATGAGAAGGGAGGTCAGACACACCTCACCCGGCTTGGAGATGGCCTTTGTGACTCAACAGGCCCAAGCCCGGACCAGAGATTACAACACACCTGGCCATTGATTTACCCGACAGATCGCCTGAGTCTATGTCCACTGGCTTCCCTCTGATTAACTAGCTTCCTTACCATAACTTAAAACATTGCAAGCCCTGGCCAGGCATGGCGGCTCAAGCCTGTAATCCCAGCACTCTGGGAGGCTGAGGTGGGCGGATCATTTGAGCTCAGGAGTTAGAGACCAGCCTGAGCAAGAGCAAGACCCCACCTACACTAAAAATAGACAAAACTAGCTGAGCATGGTGGCACACACCTGTAGTCTCAGCTACTCGGGAGGCTGAGGCAGGAGGATCGCTTGAGCCCAGGAGTTGGAGGTTGCTGTGAGCGAGGCTGATGCCACAGTACTCTAGCCCGGGCAACAGAGTGAGACTCTGTCTCAAAATAAATAAATAAAACAAAATAAGAGCCAGCCCTCACCCTTGGCGAAAGACACTTCAGGGCCTCCCCTCCCACACCGGCATCCGGCCTGCAGACCCTGGGCTGCTGCCCCGGCCCCACACCCTCCGGGCCAGTTGGCCAAACTGGGGACGGGTGGCCCAAGCCAGGGCTGGAGATGGATGGAGCAGCCTGCCGTGGCCGCGCTGAGCACGATTCCCACAGCCCCTCCCGACCTGAGTCAAAGACCAAGGACTATCTCTATGGGGTGGGGTTAATTTAGTGTGGAAGGAATTTAGGACAATTTTAAAAACTGGGGGAGGAGCTACAGGACAATGAGGGAGGCAGGATCCTGCACGGAAGTGCACTCCTGCACAGAGGACGGTGGGGGGCAGTGCGGACACCCCCAGGGTCCAGGAGATGTGGAAGATGGGGAGTGGGTGCCCGGTGCAGGAGGAGTGAGTGAGGTGCCCCCCCTCCCGCTTCACTGAGCAGGTATCCTGGCCTGGGGTACCTGGGCAGGCACCTCCTGGGGGTGGGCTAAGCCCTGCCTCCCCGCAGCAGCCGGTCCTCCGTCCTCCACCCCAGCCCACCACAGAGACCCCCAGGAGAGGGGCACCCGGCACTGCCCACCACAGCCCAGGCCTGGCAGGTGTCCCCAGGGGTCAGAGCATGCTGCTCTGGAGTCCAGAGTGGGGACGCAGGAAGGGAGAATTGATCCAGCCCTGTGGCTCTGGACGGACAGGGCCAGGGACACACGTGGCCACCCCAGCCGCCCAGCTGATGAAGGCATGGTCAGCGTGTGGGGCACCCAGATGCCATTGAACTGCCAGGGTCCAGGAGGGGAGCTGTGCAGCTGGGAGGCCTCTTCCCAGGCAGTCAGTCAGGACAGCGACGATGCCTGGTGGACCCCGGGAGGCAGCAGTCAGGAGGACCATGGCTGGATCTCCCGGGAGGGCCTGGGCTCCTTCAGCAGCTCCCCCGGATGCAAAGCCCAAAGCCCGGGGCCCTGGCCCAGGGCCTGAGCTACGCAGGCCCCCAGAAGCCTGCTCCAGGCAGCCCAGAGTCAGGCTCGGTCGTCCTGAGCCTGAAGGTGTTCTGGACGCAGTGAGCCCCTGGGTCGCGGCTCTGGCTCAGGACTCTGCACCGGAGAGACCCCCGCCAAGGCCTGGTCCAGCGCTCTTTCCAGCGGGAGGCCAGAAACCAGCAAGCCCGAGGACGACGTGCTCCCCGCAGAGCTGCCCAGAGGGCGAGGAGTCCTGCGTGGATGACCCGTGGGGTCCATCTCAGACCCAGGTGGGGGCCCCTTGGCAGTGCCCCACCCCCAGGAAGAGTCACGGCACCCTCAAGAACACGTGCACTTTATTGACCCCCAAGGGGACTGGTGTGTATGAACCGCTTCACAAAGGGGTGGGGCCAGGGCAGGGCCAGGTATGGGAGGTGGAGTGAGGTGGAGCATGGGGGTCACAGGCCTGGGCAGCCACCAGCAGCCTCGATGTTGCCTCTGGTCCTAGTGAATGTTTCGGGAGTTGATCACCATGCCGACGATCATCAGAATGATCCCAAGGATGCTGAGGACCAGGGCCCAGATGTTCAGGCACTTGGCGGTGGAGGCGTGGGCCTGGGCCCCGGTCAGGTCGCCCACCATCTTCCTGTCCCTAGACTGGGGGAGACGAGATGGTGAGGGGCCCAGGAGCCAGAATGCACGTCCCTCCTTCCCCTCCCCGGGCTCCTCCCTGCCCCAGCAGGCTGCCCCTGCCCTTCCCCACAGCCCCTCCAGGACCCTCAGGGCTCTTCCTCCCTGCTCTGGGCCAGTGCAGACTGCCCACCCCACCCGGGGGAAGTCCCCTGGGAGTGAGCGCCCCTGCAGTTCTGAGAGCCCGCGCTGCACAGTCTGGCTGCGCAGTCTGGCTTTCCGGCCTGGGCTGTGGGGAGGATTCCCGTGGCTGGGGGTGGGGGGACCCAGCCAGCCCCACGCAGACCCCTGCTAGCCCCGTGCTGGGAAGACCCCCCAGGCCTCACACACACACAAACACACACACGCAGGCCAGGGCACACTAGGGTTGTTAGGGCCTAGGGACCATGGGTAGCCAATAACTCGCCATTAGCTTCTGTATTATGCTTGCTTGCTTAGGAGAGTGGAAAATTTTCAGCTGACCCCTATCTGACCCTGGACCTGCCATCTTGCCTCTACTAAGGTAATTAAGTTTAGAAAATAGAATAAATTAAGTTCAGAAGGGCGGTGGTGTATGGCACACAACGGCCCACGAGATACAGACGCTAGGTGCCTGACGTGCTCCATGCACCTAGTGAAATGCGCTCGGGCTTAGATCACAGGATGAAGAATGCACTTCAGCTAAGATTAATGTTGTCCGTAGTTAAGCCGCTTCAGAGGCTTCCTCTCACTCAGCCGGTGACTCCTACAAAATCCATCTCAATGCTCCAACTCCCCCCATTGTGCTAAAACAAGATAGACATGTACAAGTCAATGCTTTCTCTCGCTTTTGTAAAAGTGCTTGCTGATTAGATTCTTAGAGTGTGGTTTTTGCCTTTAAAAAGGGGCCGTTTTTCCCTTCTCATCACTACTGTCTGTGCCTGTCACTCTGCAGGGCAGAAGTAGTCCTGGCCAGTAAATAAAGACTCACAATTTGACCCAATTCGCTTTCTTTCTTTTATTTTCTTTTCCTTTTTTTTGAGGTAGAGTCTCGCTTTGTTGCCCAGGCTAGAGTGAGTGCCATGGTGTCAGCCCAGCTCACAGCAACCTCAGACTCCTGGGATCAAGCGATCCTCCTGCCTCAGCCTCCCGAATAGCTGGGACTACAGGCATGCGCCACCATGCCCGGCTAATTTTTTTTTTCCTACGTATATTAGCTGGCCAATTAAGTTCTTTCTATTTATAGTAGAGACGGGGGTCTCACTCTTGCTCAGGCTGGTTTAGAACTCCTGACCTCGAGCAATCTGCCCGCCTTGGCCTCCCAGAGTGCTAGGATTACAGGCGTGAGCCACCGCACCCGGCCTCCAATTCGCCTTCTAAGGTGGTCTTTTCTCGCACTCTGGACCGTAACTAGGGAGAGATGCACACACGGATCATACACACGACACACAGGCCAGGAACACTCAGGGAGAGATACACACACACACAAACACACGCAAGGACACACAAGCCCCTCCCAGGTGGCCCCAGGCAGGTGGGCGGCAGGCGCACACGCACTGTTCTGGAGCGGCCCCCACGCGCCCACACGCACCTTCACGGAGTAGGCGAATGCCACGAAGCCCAGGCAGCAGCAGTTCAGGAAGAGCGTGTTGAACAGGGACCAGACAACGTGGTCGGGCACGGAGGTGTCGCTGTGGATGTGGATCACGGTGGAAGTGGAGGTGGCGGGGCCGTGGGGCGTCCCCAGCACGGCCACCTCGTGCTCCTCCTTGAGCATCTCGGAGTTTGAGTGCAGGCCGGTTTGGGCCCGGGTGAAGAAGGGCTGGGGAGTGCTCATGGTGCCAGGCGGAGACCAGCCGTGGGTCTGCAGGCTGCTCAGTGGGGCCCTCCTTTCCCCTCTGGTTTCAGTTTCTCAGAGTTTTCCTTTCCTGGTAATTAGCAAATTGGAAATTGGCTGGGGACTGAGAGGGCGGGAACATATCGTGAGAATCAAATTACTTTAGGGAAATGGGGGGGGGGAAGGCCTGAGGGCTAAGTGGGGGCTTCCGGTGCTGGGACCCAAGACAGGAGTGTCTCAGCTAACTGCACTCCCCCGCTACCCACGCTACCCACGGTTTTTTTTTTTTTGAGATAGACCATCACCCCGTTTCCTGAGTAGGTTCCTTCCCTTGCTGTCAGTGTAGCTTACTGCAACCTCATCCTCCTGGGCTCAAGCAATCCTCCTGCCTCAGCCTCCTGAGCAGCTGTGACTACAGGTGCCACCACACCTAGCTACTTTTTCTATTTTTAGTAGAGACAGGGTCTCACTCTTGCTCAGGCTGGTCTCAACTCCTGAGCTCAAGGGATCCTCCTGCCTCAGCCTCCCAGAGTGCTGGGATCACAGGCGTGAGCCACCTCGCCCACCTCTACTCCCCATTTGAGGCGGGCAGCTGGCAGGTGCTGCTTTACGCACCGTTGCTACCTGGGCACTGCAGCATTACCTAAGTCTGGAAGTTTCAAAATGAAGTTTCAAAGTACTCTGGTCAAAACAGGCTGTAGGCAGGGTAAGTTCCAGTTGGAACTTTGTGAACTAAAATAAAATTTTAAGGCTCATCCTTAAAATGTCATGGCCAAAGGAATACTCTAAAACTAAATTGCCTGCCAGGAGGAAGGAGGTCAGAAATGCCTTCTCATGCCCCCCTCCCTTCTGGGAGACATCCTTTGTGACCCATTGACAGGCCTAAGGGCATGCAAGACACACCTGCGGGTCCTCAATTTACACAACAAACCTATGTCCGGTGGCTTCTCTCCGATAACATTTCCTTATGTTAAAACATTCCAAACCTTTAGACAAAGCTTTATGTCTTCAACCAATTACAAGCCAAAGAATCTTTAAATCCACTTTATGACCTATAAGCCCCCCCCTTTGAGATGACCCACCTTTTTGGGCCAAACCAATGTACGCCTCCCACCTATTGGTTTATGACTTTACCTGTAACTCGTCTCCCTGAAATGTATAAAGCCAAAGTGTAACCCAGCGAGTCTGCTGCTCAAGGCTTCTTGGGAGTGGCTCTGGGTCATGGTCCTCAAATTTGGCTCAGAATAAATCACTTTAAAATTATTTTACAGACTATGCCTTTTTTTTTCATCCACAGGGCCAAGATAGTGGAGAAAAAGAGGGTGTACCCCTGGTGCCATGAACATTCCTGCCCTTGCTTAGCCTATAATTACGCTCTCTATTAAACAGAAGGGCGACAGGAAGCATGGGGCTGTCGGCCCCCAAAGTCTTTCTTGTGTGAAGTCAAGGACCCCCTTGGACCTCAAGAGGCTTCCAGAGTTGGGGCTCACTTTGCTGTGTCTGTCTGCCTTGCATGGGCCTGTCCTCAAACTTGGCTCAATAAACCTGGGTGAATTGTGACTCTGCTCTCAGCTGCCTACTACTTGGGCCATCAAAGTGACGCAGGAAAGTGACTCCCAGCGCTGGTGTTGACGCCCGCAAGGGGGCTCTGTTGCTCGCCACACAGCGGTTGCCGTGACAAGTAGGACCGCAGGGGAAGAAAGGATTTATTGCAGAGGTTGAGTCAGCGGGAGGTGGGCGGAGTTGGGCTGCCTCAAATCTGCCCCCCCCCCCAGCAGGGCCGTGGTTTCTGGAGGTGGAGGGAAAACACACGCGGGAAATGACATCACTACACACCGCCGGGGCCAGTGCAGGGCTCGCAGGGCACGCAGTCACGCTAGCACAAACGTCCCACAGTCAAGAAATGGTGGATAGACCAGGCATGGTGGCTCACTCTGGGAGGCCACAGCGGGAGGATCGTTTGAGCCTCGGGAGTTCCAGACCAGCCTGAGCAAGAGTGAGACCCTGTCTCTACTGAAAATAGAAAGAAATTAATTGGCCAACTAAAAACATATAGAAAAAATTAAAATTAGCTGTGCATGGTGGGGCATGCCTGTAGTCCCAGCTACTCGGGAGGCTGAGGCAGGAGGATTGCTTGAGCCCAGGAGTTTGAGGTTGCTGTGAGCTAGGCTGACGCACGGCATTCTAGCCGCGGAACAGAGTGAGACTGGTGTCAAGAGAAAGAAAGAGAGGAGAAAGAAAAAAGAAGTGAAGGAAGGAAGAGAGGAAGGAAGGAGAGAGGAGGAAAGGGAAGACAGAAGAAGGAAGGAAGAAGGAAGGAAGAAGGAAGGAGGGAGGAGGAAGGAAGGAAGGAAGAAGGAAAAGAAAGGAAAGAAGAAAGAAAGGAAAGAAAGAAAGAAAGAAAAAAGAAAGAAAGAAAGAAAGACAAGAAGAAGAAGAAAGAAAGAAAGAAATGGTGGATGAGTCCCTCCAGGATAGAGGGTTTAGTATTACACGAGCTCAGGGTTAATGGTGAGCATTTTTCAGCTTGTGGCAGGGTGGATGCGGGGGCCACGCGTGGTTCATTCGTTCCTCCGGACAACAGGTGGTGTGAGTGTGAGGCTTTGTCATTACTGCGGCTGCAAGGAGGCTCCACCGTTACTGGGAGAGAAGCTCAGAAGGGAGGGCATCAGTGCAGCAGCAGGTGACGAAGCTCTGGTCAGGCCGGGGCGAGGTGGCTCACGCCTGTCATCCTAGCTCTCTGGGGAGGGAGGTGGATGGATTGCTGGTCAGGAGTTCGAAACAGCCTGAGCAAGAGCGAGACCCTGTCTCGATACTATAAATAGAAGAAATTAATTGGACAACTAATATTATTAGAAAAAATTAGCCGGGCATGGTGGTGCTGCTGTGGTCCCAGTACTTGGAGGCTGAGGCAGGAGGATCGCTTGAGCCCAGGAGTTCTGAGGTTGCTGTGAGCTAGGCTGACGCCACCGGCACTCACCTCTAGCCTGGGCACACAAAGCGAGAACCCTGTCTCAAAAATAAAAAAAAGCTCTGGCTGGGCATGGTGGCTCACACCGTGAGGACTGAACTCTGATTTTTTTTGCTAAAAACTCCTTCCTAAGGAGGCAGCTGGATCAGGCTGACAAATGGTAAATCCACTAGCGGCTTTTGTTAACCAGAATAAAGCGGTGATTTACTTCCCGACCTGATTCCGGTAGTGCATAACATCACCTAAAAGATAAGAAGCTCCTATCTTAACTCGGAGCATCCTAGCAGATACCTATTCTTAAATTTAAAGCATCTTAAAACATCCTTAGCAGGTGCCTATTTGTAAATTTAAAATGTCCTCCTGTCTGGACCCTCCAGAGTGCCCACAACCTTATCTTAAAATAAGCATACCTAGGCCAGGCGTGGTGGATCACGCTGTAATCCTAGCACTCTGGGAGGCCCAGGCGGAGGATTGCTCAAGGTCAGGAGTCGAAACCAGCCTGAGCAAGAGCAAGACCCAGTTCTTACTATAAATAGAAAGAAATTAATTGGCTAACTAAGATATATATACAAAAACTAGCCGGGGCATGGTGGCGCATGCCTGTAGTCCCAGCTCTTGGGAGGCTGAGGGAGGAGATCGCTTGAGTCCAGGAGATTGAGTTGCTGTTGAGCCAGGCTGACGCCACGGCACTCACTCTTAGCCTGGGCACAAAGTGAGGACTCTGCTCAAAATAAATACATAAATAAATAAGGCTTCTGGTCAGCATGTCTCGCTGGCCGGGAACTTGGAAGGTAAGACAAACAAAAGGACAATAAAAGTGTTCTTGCGTGTGGAGCGTTTACATCTGCCACCACCTCCCACTGCAGGGGCCCAGCCCGAACCCAGGAGCAGGATGCACAGCGGACGCTCCAGGACGGAGGGGCCCCCACGCACCACGAGAGACCCACGGCCCACGGTGGAGAGGGGCCAAGTGTCCCACCCACGGAGAGACCGCCGCCGGGGAGGGCTGGCCAGTTGAGATGGCCAGGGATGCTCAGCAGGGCAGTGGCCACAGGTGAGGCCGTGGGCTGGTTGGCGATCCCTCGACATGCGCGCCCAGGCAGGCCCGGCCACCTCACCATGGGTGACGAGGAATAGGCGGAATCAGGCCCAGACGTCTCGGGCCGATGGGGGCCGGCAGGCCAGGTCGTAGGTCTGACACGCAGGCCGGAGCGTGTGGGGCACGTGGTGAGCCAAGGGGGCCCCAGTGGGGCCTGGTCCAACGGACCCTCACGCTCAGGCCATCTCCACGGCCCCCGAGAGTGTCACCTGGCATGGAGGGGCAAACGGTGGCGTGTGGGGGGCCGCCATGGGGTCAGCACCTGCTAGGCGGGTAGCCAAG